CTCTGTTAGCCGTTTCAAGTCGGCCCTGAAAACGCACGTCTTTAGCATCGTCTTCCCTCCATGACATTTTTCACGACAATCTAGCACCGGATTTGAGTTTTTAATTCCGTTTTTATGATTCAGTTGCTCACTTTTAGCACCTCGCACCATCTGGTATTTCATTTCGTCTTATTTGTGCCATTTCAAATGTTTTTATCATTCGTCGCATTATTTTATTTTTATAGTGCTGTTAACTGTTCTCCTATTTTATTGTTTTTAGTAGGAATTTTTATCTCCGACTATTTATGCTTTGCTCTTATGTATTTTGCCTGTTCTTATTGTGTTTCTTGATCAAGCATTTGGCTTTTTTATCTACAGCACTTCGGTTAGCTGCCATGCTATTTTGAAATTCTGCTTTATAAATACATATGGTATGGTATGGTATGGTACATATAATCTATGTGGGCAAACCTCTGTGGAGCCACCATGAAAACCGAGGACAAACCCTGGTTGCATCCATACGGTCTGCCCATATATAGGCAAGGCAGCTTTATTTGCATAGCACATTTTATCCACATAGGCAATTCAATGTGCTTTCCGTTGGCGAGAATAACATGAACATTAAAATCAACGTGATGGCAAGATTAAGATACACAAATAAATTGAAATTAAAGGGTGAGCAGTTACAGTGCAGAAGGTGCAGCATAAGAAACACTTATTCAAAGGCTGATGAATACATGAAAATATATCCATACGGGGCCCCCCTATGCATGCTGGCTGGGATTATGTTAGTAATTACATCAAACCCAGCCCTCTAGAGAAGCTGTGGTTCCATCGCTCAGCACCTGTATGAGATACGTGACCCTGGTCAGCAGGTTGTTGAGGGTGACCTTAGTTTGTTTCAGGTAGGTTTGTGACGGGCTGAAAGTCACGCCCTCTCCACACCAGGAGCACGCGGCTGGGTTACTGAAGGTGGGTGAGGGGCAGATGCGACACACCACCCCGTACCACACTTCAGCACGACCTCCCATGTCCACAGGGGGGCGCCACCTTAAGGAAACGCCACCGTCAGCGCTTTCATACTCCCAGGTCAGAGAAACAGGAGCAGAAGGAGGAGCTGAGGAGAAACAGAGGGATGGAGAACAGGTTTCACATATGGAAGAGGACCCTCGGTTTGAACGGTTTGAAGCGTCTGCTGAAAAGTTTAAAGATTTGAGAAAATCTGCAAGCTGGCAAAGTCGTTCTAGTAAAAAAACGGTGGAAAGAACTTAGTAAAATAGCTTAAGGGTGACGTGTTTGAAGCCAAGCGAGAACAGAACAGTAACAGTTTTCCTTTCTGCTGCTGCAGTTTAAAGGTTTTCACGGCAGAAAATGGATTTTGTTCAGTGACCATGTGACCATTCAATCTGAGTCAAAAGACAAATGACTCGCACACCTCTCAGGGTGCAGGCCGTAAACACACACACACACACACACAAAGCTCACTTGTGCAGGCAGAGGAGTTGGCATCGATGGGCGCCCGATAAAAGCTGCTGCGACATTCACACACACTCGAGCCTTCCAGGCTGGTCCTGCTGTTGGGTGGACACACGGAGCAAGGAACGGAGCCTGAAACAGCCTTGAAGTAGCCAACGGGACAAGCTGCAGAGACACATAAAGAGGCCCGGAGGTTGTTTGAACGCACCCACGTTGTAGCATCACATGGTAAAATGGATCACTACACATTCTGAGACATTGAGATGATTGACGGACGAACCATGAAGCTAATTAACTCAACTGTGAAGCAGTAAAAGCATCAGTGAGAGGGAAATAAGGCTGCAAATTATTAAAAAACAAAACAAGTATTTGTCTCAGTAGATTTTGGTAGATGAATAATAGAATAGATGGAAAGGTTTCCTATGACATAAAAGTCAAACAAGCCAGTGGCGGCACCAGGGGCGCTAGGGGGCGCTATAGCTACCCCTGGATTAGTCATTGCACCCCCATAGCATCCCCAAGTAAATATTAGATTTTTTTTTTTACAACTTAATTTTAATTTAACGTGTGGATGTGATAATATTTGACGTACAAAAAATAATCAGTAAATTATCATATATATAGTAAAAACTTAAACCAAAACAAGAAATTGATGTTAACCTTTGACCTCTTTTTCCACCTGTGAACGAGTGAAAGGTAGGGCTAGTGGTAAAATGGATCGGTTTTTGTTGCCCACATTTCCACGGGTTCAGTTAGAAACGAATGAATCTTTGGAAGTGATCTCAGACCCACAAAAACCTACGGATCTGGATGAAGAGAGTCAACCTGTCAGGAAGCGCCTTGGGCTTCCTGACAGGGTTGCGGAAGGCGCTTTATAAATAAAGCTTTGATTTGATTTGATTTGAACCCTCAACCGCCGCAGCAGTCGAGGGTTTTGCCGCTGGAAATGCTAACACTAACGTTAGCTAAACTTGCAACACTATAGATGGTTTTCTGTGTGGCTGTATGCGTTTATGATTTCATGGAAAAGTCAGTGATTGTTCATATATTTATGAGATACATTAATGATTGTTTCAGGTGTTGTTGAGGTTTTGTGCACGCATGTGTATCTGCTAGTGTTGAAGGTGTTTTAGAGAACAATAGGTACGCATGACCACTTCCTTCATAGCACCCTCAATAAAAAGACTGGCTCCTTCACAGCACCTGCAGAAAAACATTTCTGGAGCCGCCACTGAAACCAGCAGAGTAAAAGAACCTTTTAGTCAATTTTTTGTATCGTTTTTGGTTTCACTTTCTCCACCTGAGACATTATAATGAAAGTCAGGGCACACCCTGAACAGGGCCGGAACCACAAACAAACTTATTTTGAAACTTTGGTTGGAAGAACCTGGAGAACAAACCCCGAAAAGGCCCCAGATGAGACCCAGACTGTAAATCTTCTTACTGTGAGGTGACAGAGCAAACCGCCACACCGCTCTGTCACTCCAGATGTTCCATAAAAAAATAAGGAGAAAAGACTAAAGTATAAATTTAAAAGAAACATCTGGCTTTTAACACATCGCCCACATGAGACTGTCTTTGTGAGGGTTTTTATGAAAAATTTTGGTGATTCCATTGGACTTTTCTGTCTATTCGTGACAAAATAAAGCAGAAAGTTACGGGTTTTTGGGAATTTCGGCACTGATTGTAGTTCTTTTTTGGTTCAAAAGTTCAACAAAGCAGCTGTTTGTTGTTGGTTTTTCCTGCACCATCATTTACTCGTGTTTACAGAGGTTGCGGCTGGCGCTTAGCAGAAATGTCACACGTGAGTGACCCCCCCTCACTCAGAGTGAAATTTCTATGATGCAATCAGGAGAAAAACATGACTAAATTTCTTTGAACAAAAGAAAGAAGTTGGATTAAATAAATAAACATGGGAGATATAGAGGAACGGATAGATACATTGTCATGGTTCATGAAAAAAACGGACATTTAATTTAAAGGGAGACCAGACAGTTTGGGCTTGCTTTTAGCACCCCCTAGTGTCTGTTTATAGAACCAAAAGCAAAAACTTATCTCCTAGCTGTGTGTTTGCCTTTTTAACGCCTTAATCTAACAGCTGAAACGTCTCCTCAGCCTTCACTAGTGTCTACAGGAGTGATTCATCACTACATTAAACAAGTATGTTGTGTTCATGATCTAAAACATGCAGGAAACGTGCTGGAAGCAGACCACAGTGCCAGGTATGTCAGCTCAGAGAGGCCTCCAGTCTGAAGTCGCAAGTGGAATATTCTAACCAAAGGGGGTGATAGGGGCTGGATGTAATTTCATTAATCCTGTAAAGTAAAATGATTTAAAACTATGAAAAAGTAGCAAAGGATCCCTTGGGCAGCAGTAGCTCAACAGGTTGAGTGGGTTGTCCAGTAATCGGAAGGTTGCAGGTTCAATCCCGGCTCCGGACAGAGAATTCTGCTGTTGTGTCCTTGGGCAGGACACTTAACCCGCCTTGCCTGCTGGTGGTGGTCGGAGGGACCGGTGGTGCCAGCGCTCGGCAGCCTTGCCTCTGTCAGTGGACCCCAGGGCAGCTGTGGCTACATTGTAGCTCATTACCACCAGTGTGTGAATGTGTGTGTGAATGGGTGAATGATACACTGTAGTGTAAAGCGCTTTGGAGTCCTTACTCTGAGGGGCGCTACACAAGTGCGGGTCATTTATCATTTATTTATCATTAAAAGCAAGTTTATAAAAGTGAGTTTTGAACTTGCTCTTGCTAGGGGTCAGTCTCACCAGCAAAGGCAGGGCGCTCCAAAGTTTCAGACCAACAACACTAAATGCCCGATCCCCGCACAATTTCTTATTTGTTGGTCGAACAACTAAAAGGTGTAAATTTTGAGGAGCAAAGAGAATGCTGGAGTGCATACAGGTGAATCAGCTCAGACAGGTATGAAGGCACCCCTCTGTGTAATGCCTTGAAACATGCGTTATACATGTAGAAGTTTGCTCAGACTGAGGGTAGGGGGGCAAAATGCAAATTTAAAGTACAATTACCTCTGAAACTTCATTCTGGCATGGACAAGAGAGTGTGCCGGACCAGGGGTGGGGTGTAAGCCGGAGAAAATGCAAATGAAGTTAAAATGTGTTAAGTACAGTAATGAAGTACTTGTACATCGTTTCATTCCATCACTGCCTTTCAACGATTTTAAAGACGCGCCCGATTATCGTAACGGCTCTTAAGATAATCTTACCAGATATTCCTTCCGTGTGTGGTTTGTGAGAGAAGAAAAATAAATTGAAAATACTTCCAACTTCAGGTTAGAAACACAACAGAAGCTTTCATTATAAATTTTAGACTCAAGATGTTTAAAAAAATGACTGAAAGAGCCTTAAAAACTTGCATAATAAATTACTGACATGTATTTTTCTTTTAGTAAAAAAAAAACGAATTGCAGCTCAGAAATAGAGATCCGCCACTTCTGACATTTCTGATTCATTTACCTCAAAAAAGTCTATTTAACAGAACAATTAAAGATATCTCTGAATAACTCAAATGTTATTAATCTGGGCGTAAAAACTTCTAAATGGGAAACGTAAAAGCACACTGTTGCAAATCTGTGCAGAAATTAAAAAACACAGTGGACACATTTAACTGCTTTCAGACATATTTCCTTCTTTCACTGTCACTCACTCATAAAAAGCGGCAGTCTGAACCAGTATCCTGACGTGTTTTAGGATGGAAAATCTGTGAAAAGTGTCAACTGTCACTGTCGGCCCCGGCAGGACAGCTGGGGTTGAGGTGACCGGCACGTCAGCATCATCCTCCAACCTGCCAAATCCTCATGGACTCACCCTGAGGAGGGTTCCTAAAATACAGTTTAAACAGCCTCCAGGTCAGTTTGGTGCCATTTATACACTGTGTGTGTGTGTGTGTGTGTGTGTGTGTGTGTGTGTGTGTGTGTGTGTGTGTGTGTGTGTGTGTGCGTGTGCGTGTGCGCGCGTGTGTGTGTGTGTGTGTGTGTGTGTGTGTTAGAGCTCCTAAAGTTGTTTTCTCTAAGGGTTGCATCATTTAAAATGGGTTTATGTTGTCTGTAAGCTAAATGTAGTCTGTGCACTGCTCTGTTTTGTCTCCCTGAGAAGCTTTTAAATAGTAAATGTGTAAGAACTGAGCCAGGAGGATCCTCTCATGTGTTTTTAAACAGAATTAAAGTAGCTGGATGGTGTGTGTGTGTGTGTGTGTGTGTGTGTGTGTGTGTGTGTGTGTGTGTGTGTGTGTGTGTGTGTGTGTGTGTGTGTGTGTGTGTGTGTGTGTGTGTGTGTGTGTGTGTGCATCTGGTGCTCTTGGTCTTGGTGAACCCCTGACTTTATTCATATAACCTTGTCTCACGTCTTAAATACTGCATGAGTGTGTGGCTGTGATGCCAAGTGAGAGGAGGAAATATGGCGATAAGATATGAAAACAGGAGGAGTAAACAGATAGAAAGGCTTTCTGTGTTCTCACTTGTCTCTAAGAGCTCGCTCTGCTGTCAAACAGGTGTGAAGTGGGGGAAGCGGGAAAGTGAACGGGCGAGAAACTGCAGATGAGAGACAGATGGACAGAGTGCGTCACCCTCCCTGACATGAAGGGAGAAAAATGTGTAAAAAGTCAAATTCACTATAAATGGGTCAGTTTTGCTTAATTGTGTGTGCATACAAATTACGTACACATCCTTTTCACCTGCTGTTTCTCAAGAAACAGTGAATTTCTTCCAACAGACTCACTAGTGTCACTTCTGGGGCGCTGGGAACAGCACTCCTGAACTGCAGCTTAACAGCCAATCATGTTTGGTTGCTAGGGAGAATTTCCCCTGGGATTAATCAAGTATTTTTGAATTGAATTGAATTGAGAACTTTGGGCCAACCATAATCACTGAATTGGCTGTCTCTGGGGCGCTGGCCGATAGTGCCACAGAAAAATATACGTAGACTCCTCATGGACTGGTGCTGCTATAGTGGCTGGTCGCCATCTTGGATGGGTCTCCGTTTGCCTGCTGTGCATTAATTTCTACTGAGGAAGGTGCTTACCTAACTAAAAAACACATTTTATCAAGCTTTTTCGCAAAATCAGACACACGGTATGGCATGACAATTAAAATATAAATATAATTAAACTAAATAAATGAAAACATAAAATCCCATCAGGTAGGCCAATA